CATTTGCTTTTAATTTGACAATTAAAAATCAATTAAATTTGAATAATCCGACCACTCTCCGATTTTTTCCGAATCGGCTGTGATATACCATGGCTCTATTGTCATTTAAGTTTGTTATACTGTTGTATGTCGCATTTTTGTAATTTTTTAGTTATTAGCGCTGCAAAGTTGTATGTGGGTTAGAGGTTATGTAGAGGTACAAAGCTGTATCTTAATAGTTTTAATGCAGGCAACCAGAATTACAAAATTGTATGCAACCAATACAACGTTTTTACGGTTGAATAGTGGCATGTGGTACTTACACTCTGTTAACCTCAAGACTTTTATTATCTTTCGGTAACAGTGCCACCCACATACAACTTTGTTATTTTAAATATTTGAGCAGTCATAATTTAAACATACACATACAAATATGTTATTCGTTAATATGCTAAAAATCGGTTAAACACGAGAATGTGACTGATGTAATAAACTTAATAAAAGTCGAGTTTCTTACCTAATTTTATTAGTAAGATTATATAAAAGGTGACTTGAAGTGTTTAAACGGCTCCTTTTTTATCATTTACTCACATTAAAGACAAACGTCTAACACATCCATAGAAGGATGCTTTTTTCTTTTTTTTATGGCTAAACAAAAATATTTGTAAGTCTTTCTAGTTTGCGCACAAATAAGACTGTTTTAAAGAGAATACAATATAGCCATCAATATGTTACAATATATTTTGTAAATCCCGATAGCGTGGGGTTTGGTAAATAATCATGACATCATGTTCAGTATCGTCTAGAACACTATCGTAACTTTCTGATAAGCCAAAAGCTCTATAGCATCTTAAAGATTTGTTGATATGATGAACATAACATTTTAAAATTCAAAGATGTTCTAGAGGAATACAATTTCCTACTAATATTTTTTGTAAGTTACAGATTTATTTTCAAACAGGATAACTCATTTCTCTCAAGATTTTGATGAGAAATGTCATACGTCAACGTGAAAATAGTATTTTTAAAACCAGTGGAAATCAAATTCTTGGGATTCAATTCTTTCGAAATAAGCCACGAGAAACAGTAACTGAGTTCTCACTGGTTTTAAAAATACTGTTTACGATGACGTACGACATTTCTCATGAAAATCTTGAGAGAAATTACTTTTTCTCGAGTTTGAAAATAGACCATCAGAAATTGCCGGGCGATGGGGTTATTTTTGTGGCCTCAATGTGAGCGAATACAATCAAAGAACAGCTCTTTTGATATTTTGGCACATTGATAAAAACTGCAAATGTCAGTCGATGTTTAAAATTAAAATGCCACCTACGTGTGTTATTAAGGCACTAATATACTTATCCATTGTCATTTAAGAAATTTTTTATGTCTTCATAAGCCAAGACAAAGGCTTTTTATAATGAAACTGAAGCAAATTTTTAGAATTTAAGATATCAAAGAGATTATTTATCATTCTTTTAATACTAATTTGTTGTACCACCTTCAGCAAATTCTCTCATTTTTAATTCATCTTTCTAAAACCTAATGCGGTTGCAATACTCTCTCTCAAAGCACAAGTAATATTTCAATTTCCCAAATACGACCCTGTACATTATTTACTATGTTGTTTACTTAGTTGTAGAATGTCATTTCAGATAATTTCTTCGTATGAATATCTATTGGGTTGCTACAAACACATTGAGCACAAGCAACCATTGTTTAACTTTTAAAATGTACAATATACTTAGTTTGCAAACGACATAAAAATAGAAAAAAAATGTTGATTGACACCACGATTAGCTGTTTGAAGGATTCGTGAACACAATATGACGGAAGTGAACCCGTCTTGGACCACGTGACAGCGTCTTCCTACCTTCTACCTCCATGTTGGCTACTGTCATTTTAATTACTTGTCAAAATCGTATTTAAATTTTTTTTAGAAATGGCCCATTTTTTTGAAACATGAAAAGTTATTTGAGAGACGTGTTTCTAATAATCGATTTTAGGAAAATTTTAGTTTTATTTTTTGATATACTGATGTAACTGTCAATATTGAAAAAGCTTAACAGGGAGGAAGAGACAACAATTCCATTCCAATTTTTGTTAATAATGTTTTACGGTGTGGTTACTTTTCACGAATATTAAAATTATGCAAAAGTAAATAGAGTTTTATGAATGATTTTTCAAAAAACTTCTAATGTGACAACCGAGGTCAGTAGCCAAGTTTGATATGGGCTATTTTAAGTTTCTAAATAAGCATGTGATTGCCTTAGACAGTTTTTCGAGTTCAATAATAAAAAAGAATCCCAAATGGATTTAACTTTATAGCACACACACACTGGCACTGTAAAAACTGCAAAAACCTCATTTCAAACAAGGTTCGTGCACTGTATAATTAGACTACCTATGTAAAGCCTGAATATAGCAAGGGAAGTGACAGAAAGAAAAAGTTGGCAAGATGGAACGATGGTTACTGCATGAAAAAACAGGAGATTGAATTTGATACATAATTGTCCATGATGGCAATGAAGAAGGGTTTATAAAAAATGTACACCTCATATTTAAAAGTCAAACAAAAAGCGGAGATTATCGTAATAATATGATCAAAGAAAATTTTGAAAAAGGTTTAAGTCTGGAACATCCTTCTTTGATTATAATCGATAAGGCCAGTTATCATTTCGTCGGGTTACTGCCAAAACAAGATAAGTACATGTAAGAATTTAAAATTCGAAAGCGTTGGATCGATGGTGTTTGGTCGAAACATATGGACCGGACGAAGTACCTGTCTCTCAACGGAGTGACGACGAAGGCATTAAAATGTGTTATATATTACCCAAGACTCATATTTGTTATTTTAGTATTATATATTGAGTTCCTAGGGCAATCTGGCCTGAGAAATAAGGGGACACTTACGGTTCGGCTGTCTGAACAGAATGTCGATTTCACTTGTTTTATGTTTAATTTTGGAAATAGATTAATTTGATGAAAATATCGTGTTTTCTTACATACATGTCTAACATTAAAACAGTCTAAACTATGTACTGACAGAACCAGAGCATTGTATTAAACGCGGTATTCGCTCTGTGCGTGACAGCAGCGCCAATTCGTTTAGGTACTAATGGACTATTTCTGCGTATACTGACAAATACAATTTTTAATAGAATTCGTAATTAAAAAGTATGTATGTTAGTGTTAATAAAAGTATATGGATTTGTAAAACAAGTAAAACATTAATTAATTATTACATATTTTTATCGCCTAAAGTAAAAAAAAAATAGGTATTATCAATACAAATTAATAATAAAATATAGAAAGGCAACAGTATTTACTGGAAAATGGGAAGTTGGCTAAGTCTAACAATTAACCTATTCTGTCAAAATAAAAATATATGTACCATTAAGTGAAGTTAAAATGTATAAAAGAAGAATTGTTATTTATTTTTTTCATTTTTGTTTGAAAGAAAACATAGAAAGAATGATTAAAACTGGTTTTCCATCAGTAAGTCTCCGATGTCTACTATTTCCAGTATTACTGTTATTATTACAAAAATAAAGTTAATTTTTCTTCTTATTGTACACCTATACATTTATTTCTTTGATTTCATTTCCACTTTGCTACTGAACATTTTTATAATTTTCAATGTTTTTTTTGCTAGTATTTGTACAATTTTCAACACAGCAATTCCGGTTGCCTATTGTATAGTTTTTACCTACTTTTTTTGAAAAAAGTAAAATGTATACGTGTATTTGATAAGCCAAAATTACAAAATGTCGCCCTTAAATGCACGAATTATCCGCAGCTACCGCTGGTATCGCTTTTGATTGCCCTACTCTGACTTCGCACTGAGCGAATACGTTGATACTCATGTGCACGTAAATACCTTAGTGGATTACAAGAATCATATTGGCAGCTAAATAAGATAAGTGCATTTATGTTAGGTTTACAAATTATTTTAATTTTACTTTGTGTATAAGGAAATAAATGAAAATGAAATTAAAATCACAAAAGCGTACAAAAGATGTAGGCCCATTTCGGTTAAGAAAAACCAAGATCAACTGAAATTGTGTAAAAGTGATGTTATTCCTGAAGAATACCATCAATATTACAATTCCTTCCCTACCTCTAAAGAGGGAAAAGATTTAGTTCCAGAGCCAGCGGCTGAAGATTCTGATATAGAAGAACTTCCTTTAGAAGAGTGGTATAAATGAAACAAAAACAGGTACTCATATATCCAAAAGACGATAAGTGCACAAAAACAGTATTTTTTCTGTTAACTACTTTGGTAGTTTTTAAGTTTCATGATATATTTTTCTACTGTATATGATCCAATAGTATTTAAATTCAGTACCTAAGTTAAAACGGATTTTTTATTTTATACCTCATATTCCTCAAATGCTAAAGTTTTAAACATTAATAACTCAAAACTATAAAAATGTAACTTATCTTATTTTGGCAGTAACCCGGCGATTTGCGGTAAATGGAACCAATTCCATGTTATAGTTGGAATAAAATGGTTGCAGTAAAAGAACATTATTCATCCAATCAGTGTTGAGAAATATTGGCATAAAATATTAAGAATACCTCCATACAATTATGTAAGACACACTAAAAACATAATTGTTTCCGATTGAAAAAATACCAGCAATTAGATGTTTCTGATCTAGAACCAATTATTATTAATTTAGATACAACGGAAAGTAGTGATGAGTCTGAATCAGAGTCCAGTTGTGAGTTATCCAATTAATATTTTGTGTGCCTCTTGTTATAATATATTTTTTTAACAAAGAATCTATTTCACGAATTTGCATCTGTTTTGGATTATCTTTTAAAACTCTTTCCAGCTTGGAAATTTATTTATAAAATACGAAAGTAAATTGTTCTATTACTTGTAGACAAAATCTGAAATAAGAAGACACGTTCGAAATTGTAACTCAAAATATGATACTCTTTTGTCAGAGGACTTGGGGTATTTATATCACTTTATTTGAAAGTGCCTCATTTCAAAAAAAAAAACAACCAAGCATGTAGGTACTCTCTATATTTTAAATAAACTTATAAATCATTTATACAACAAATAAAAACATATGAGAAGATAAAAAGAAGTGGTTAGTATATAATATACGAAATAACATATTAATAACAGAAAAAACAGAGCCTGTCAGATGAGCGATCACAGAAAGGACACGACTTTTACCAAAAAAAAAAATCTTATTTGCAACGATGTTGAGCAGTGATTATTACAGAAAAGAGTGTATAAATAGTGAATAAAACTTAAACCTAATTTATAAAATCTATTTGCACTGATAAAAAAGAAATAATTTATTGAGAACATCAGTCACTACTAATAAATATGTATCTATTTAAAACCTAATCTTCCAAACCATCGAAATTTCCCGAATATACAACAAAATTCACTCAAATCATGAGGTATCGTTGTAAAGGGTAACCAAATTTCACTATATCTACTCAAATATGGCAAGTTTATTTTTCTCACAGTTTTATGCTTTTACTTGTCTCCTTTATCAATCGGATTCCCGTATTCGTCAATTTCCAAGGAAGGTACTAAGGGAGGCATAAACCCATATTCCATCTTTACACTCTTATCGTCAAAATTCGACCTAGCCGATCTATATTTTCTCAAAAATTTGGTTAACGTGTTACCAATTTTTGGCGGCAAAAGCCCAATGTAGTTGTCTTGTTTCGTCTGTTGAGCAACGGCGTCATCGCAATTTTTAATCTCTGGAGGCAAGTATCCATTATTCGGTACAACTTCCTTTTTGGGTGGCAAATAAAAATTATTTTGCGGGGCATAGGAATATGGATTGGGATAATAATAGCCTTCCGACTGGACCTGATCTACATTTTTAATATTGTTTGAGTAACTGCTTTGAACTTGTGAATGTAAATTGGATTGTACATGAGAATTGTAACTGGACTGAACTTGGGAATCTATATTAGACTGTAATTGCGTTTGTAATGGTTTTATTGGTGCTAGAGGAACTCCTCCATAATTTATGTTATGGTACCTAAGTATTGGTAAGGTATAGTATTGTTTCTGAATAAATTTGGTTGGTAGTTGTACATGATAAGGTCTTGGAACTTCTACTCTGATATAATAAGGTTGGGGAACAGGATACGGTCTATCAATATACTGAGGCACCTGTTTTTCAACTATCTTTTCTACTGGTACTTGTTTTTCTATATAATGAGGTACGGGAACTTTCTTTTCAACAATCCTGTCGACAGGATAAGGAACTTTAACGTGAACTGGATACGGCCTATCAATATACTGCGGTACTTGTTTCTCTACAATTTTCTCCACCGTTATTGGTCTATCAATATAATGAGGTACTTTCTTCTCTACAATCCTATCTATATGGACTGGTACCCTTACTTCAACAGGGTAAGGTTGTTTAACTATTTTTTCAACGGGATATGGTTGTGGTACAGGCACCTGAACTTGAACTGGGTATGGTCTGTCTATATATTTAGTAACTTGAACAGGAATATGTACTGGTCTATCTATAATTTTTTCCACAGGATAAGGTTGAGGAACAGCAACAGGTTTTTCTACCACTTTTGTAATATGCACCGGTTTCTCCACAATCTTTTCTACAGTTACAGGAACTGAAACTTGTTGAACATATGGAACTCGAACCTCATATGGGACTTTCACTGGATATGGTTGTGGTATAAGTCTAGTTACTTCTTTAGTTTCTTTTATAGGATATTGTTGATAATAAATTTGATGTTGGTAACCCTGTGCTAATTGTTGGTCCAATTCCAAGAAATTATTTTGCACTACAGGATTTGGAAGTTGTTGTAAATTAATGTGATTATCAACTTCTGTCAATTGCTTTGGCGTTGTCACTTGACCAGGGAAATAAAGTAGTGTTTTACCTAATTCAATATCTTGTCTTATTTTTTGATCCACGAGGCTATGGTTGTTAAGATATTGATCTTGCGATATTGGATATTCATATTTTCCTAAATAGTACGGAACAGTTTTCTGTATTTCAACTTGTACATTCTGTTTATTTAATTTATATTTATCTTCGTATTGTTCTGTGCTTTCCAGCCTCACTCCGGCTGTGATGGGTGCTAAGAAAGTTGTACTAACTGGTCTAGGAGTAACTACGATTGTAGATAATGGAGATGTAGATTCAAACGTAGTTGATACCGATTCTATGGTACTGGCAGTCGTTGACACTAGTTGTTCTTCTTTAAGATTATAACGTTCAGTGGAGGATACTATTTTATTATCTTCTGCATCAGCGACGACAATAGGTTGAGCTTGAAAACTAGGTTCTGTAACTGTGAACTCTGTAACTGTCGGGTAAGGAGTGGAAGATGGTATGCTAGTTTCTTCATACTGAGTAACAGCACTGTTGATGTCAAGAACGTCCTGTCCTGTTACTAAATGTTGCGTGCTTTGGATTAATTTATTTGGTCTACGTCCTTTAAGTTTTAATCCAAACTGTTGGTAGGACACAGCATTAGCTTGATCTTCTGTTTGTACTAATTTTTCCGCAACTATTTGATTCTGGTGAATATGAGCACTATTTTCGAATTTTTGTTGATCTAGTAATAAAACATTTGGTTGTTGTTTCAGCAATAACTGTTGAGGTGCTTGATTTTGATAAACAATTGGAGTTGGTGTAGGTTGAGGAAAAATAACTTTTTCTACTGGTTGTTGTATATGCTGTATTATAATTTGTTGCTCTTGTTGAGGTTCATGTTGAACTACAGGCAGTTGAGGTTGTTCTTGTATTAAAACCTGCTGCTGTTGGGGTTCGTGTTGAACGTATTGTTGTATCTGAGGTTGTTCTTGTATCAAAACTTGCTGTTGAGGTTCATGTTGGATAACTTGTTGTTGCTGATAATGTTGCCGTTGTTGTTCTTGTTGTTGTTGTTCTTGGATCAAAACTTGTTGTTGATGTTGGATAATTTGTTGATGTTGTTGTTGCTGTTCTTGCTGCTGTTCTTGAATCAAAACTTGCTGTTGAGGCTCATGTTGGATAACTTGTTGTTGGTAATACTGTTGCTGTTGTTGCTCGTGTTGCTGTTGTTGCTCTTTTTGTTGTTGTTCTTGAATCAAAACTTGTTGTTGATGTTGAATAACTTGTTGATGATGTTGTTGTTGTTGTTGTTGCTCTTTTTGTTGTTGTTCTTGGATCAAAACTTGTTGTTGATGTTGAATAACTTGTTGATGATGTTGTTGCTGTTCTTGCTGCTGTTCTTGGATTAACACTTGCTGTTGAGGTTCATGTTGGATAACTTGTTGTGGTTGTTCTTGTATAATGTATTGCTGCTTGAATGGGTCGTACGGCAATTGCGGATCTTGTTTGATTGTATTCTGTTGAATGACTGTTTGCTGACTAGGAAATGGTAGAAGTAATTGTTGGGGTGGTTGTGGGCTTGGTTGAATTATTGGTCTAATGGTTTGGCTCTGGATATTGCTAGCACCGTCTTTGTTTAATGGTCCAGTGTCTGGCAGTCCTTGCAGTTGGGGCAAGTTATTCTAAAATACAAAACGATATATTAATATTATGTTTGCTTTGGGTATACCGTAAAATGTTGCATACATTTTATGGAAATTTTAAAATAATTTTATAAAATTACTACTACGAGATATTGAAAACTAGTTTAAGAAATTTATTGAAAAATTGAAAAACGCTGCCTTGCCATCGCGATATTAGTTGTTCCGAGTATAAGTTGTTAATTTAAATATAAGATTCGAATCTCACTAATTGTCAGAATATTCTCAATCTGGATAGAGGAAGAATACAACCCATATGTCTACAATTGACAAACTGCCAAACATATTGTAGACAATGATAAAATTAGATGGTCAATATCTAGCTTCTCTCCGTTTAAATGGCCAAGACCTGACAGTATCTATCCAGCCCAACTTCAGTAGGGCCTGGAAGAACTTACACCACACCTGGTAGGTATATTCAGATCCTCGTTGGCTCTGAGGTATATCCACAAAAAGTGGAGAGAGGCAAAGTAGTTTTTATACCCACACCTGGAAGAATGGATTACACTGTCCCAAAAACATACCGACCATTTAGCCTGATATCGTTTTCCATGAAGACATTGGAAAGACTAAGCAAAAGGAATATAAGGGACGTGGTGATTATAATAATACCACTACACCCAAATTAATATGCATACATACATATTATTTCGAATACACACGCTAAAACAAAAAGATGGGGTTTCTGGCATTTTAAAAAATTTTAAACTGTTTGTAATCGTTCCCATGTATTTTTTAATGTTTTTAAAATTTTGACTGCACCCGAAGATGGAAACATAGGTTTCCGAAACATATGTAGTGCTGTAATAACAATATAAAATAAAATTAATGACCGAATATGCCAAGGAAATTTTTATTTATATAAAATTCTGCTACGGTCAGGAAATTATCCTTATTCAGAATTAAGACTGTTCTGTCACCGAGTCATATTTCAATATAATATTTAATTTAAGAACTCAGTCTACGGATATCTAATTTCCTGATAACCGAATTGTCAAGGTAGCATGGGTATCTGTATCTGTAACGTGTGGAGGGTGGGTTACCCCACGGCATTTAGGCCTTATTAGGCCCATTGTGCATCCTCCTGAGATGATAGGTATCTCCTATCTCGTGAGTCAGCCTACAGATTTAATGTAGCTGATAACGTCGTCAGGAGGTGCTTCTCTTATATCGGCTGGTGTTAACCGATACTCGCCGAACACAAATCTTCAAATAAATGAGAGCGTCGAGCAATCGTAAAGCGTATGCTCGATGGTCTCATTTTCTTGTTCGCACCCTCTGCAGAGTGCGGATTCTGACAGTCCCATGATATGGAGATGCTTTCGTACTTAGAAATGACCAGTCAGAATGCCTATGACTAGGCGCAGATTTTGTCTAGTCATAGTCAAGTATTTGTTCGCTGCAGTGTTGTCAGGATAACTTAAGAGCTCCCTGGCAACTCTACAGTTTCTTGTTTCATCCCATCTTTCCGTGAATTTCACAAGGGAATGTTCTTTGATTAGATCTGGCACTACTGATTTTGTCAAGCCAATAGAAGGGACAGGTCCAAAAAGTATTTAGATGGCTGCTTTCTTGGCTAGTGAATCAGCAAGACTGTTACCTTTGGATGTGGCGTGACCTTTAATCCATCTTAAGGTAACCACATTGAGTATCATGGGTAAAATGCGAAGGTAGAGGGTTTGAATTCTTCCTGGGACAGAGTTTTTTAGGACTAGTTTTAAAAATGCATTTGAGAATTTTAACAGAATTTAGTTACTTTACGGAAATTTAAACCAATCGCATCTAATCATATAATTTTATATTTATAGATAGATTTAACAGATAAATCAAGTTGGCAAATATATCTGACTTTAATTACTGGGAAATCAAAATAACTTGTATGTTTTTATTAAGTTTTGTATTAAATAAACCAATCTACATTAATCTGGCATAAATAAATTTTAAGCCGTGTAATGCCTATAAAGTATTTTGAAACATCTTTTAATACGCATTAATATGTTAATTCTGGTTCTTTAATTAGACCAACTATCTAAATACTGTAACTAAGATTGAGTTTTGTTATGTAATGTGATTTTGTTTGGATGCCATTAGGTTTACAAACGATCTGATTTTGGACATTAAAATCTTATGTTTTTTTCTGTAGTTACAGAACGCTACATATTTCAAGAATCATTATTTACCATATAAGGTGTAACCTGTAATTATATTACGGTAGTATTTCGTCCATTCTGATATTTTATAATGAGACAAGAGTGTATTAACTTAAATTAAGTTACAAGAAAAAACGTAATTGTATGCATTACCTTGAAATAATAATTAAGCTCTAATCGACTTGCGGTTTGGCCTTTCTTTGATAATATCTAACAGAATTTGGTGTTTAATTTTAGTGCTTTATATATCAATATTTTTAAAATGCTTTTCTTATAAAGCCTATTTTATGTACTGCAATGAGGGTACTAATTTCACCATATAGATGGCCATGCTTTTCAAATATGAAACCAGATCTGTATAACTGTCACTCTTAAAGGTAAATCAATTAAATAATTTTACATTTGAGTAGTTATTCATGTATTCCAGATTATTCCAGATGGGTGTCATTTATCAGAAAACCTAATAGATACATACAAATTATTTTCTTTAATCCAGTAATTAAAGTCAACTATGATTGTTAAGTGAAAATGATAAGTAAAAATAATAGTTTTAGGTTGAAATAAATGCGGATCTTATGCGAACAATATATAGTTCATCATCCTATATATTGTAGCGATGATTTTTACACGATCTTCAATGGACTTCAGAATGGAACTCATATTTAAAGTTTTTGATATTAGGATTAAAAAGTTTAAAGGACCAGCCTAATATTTTTCCATGACCTGGCTTAATCCGGAAACGGACAGGTGGGGGTCTTGTAAACCCCGCCATAATTTCCGCATTTAGGTGCTTGGGCGCCTGCGCGGCTTAGTACCTTCCACTTACATATCTCTCTCGCTAAAGAGAAGAGTTCTGTTCAGGGTATCCGCACTTGGATATACACATTCTATTCACATTCCACTGTTAGTACTATGATACAATCCAACAGAGGGCCTTACTATAATTCTTCGTTTTTTCTGTAACGTCAGTTGTCTTGACCTGACATACCAGAATTTGTCATTTATCGTTTGTCCTTTGTGGCTGACTGGCTTGTATTTTTTGAGATTTTTTTATTGGAAAATTGAAAGTACATTTATTTTATTAGTTTTTAATCTGTTTTTCGTGTGTTTCTTGGTTTTTATGTTTTTTTTTTGTGTTTTTGCTAGTGCTAGAACTTGTATTCGTGCTTTGTTAATATTTAAGAAATGTATTATCTGTTTTTAAATCTTATTAACTTTTCAAGTAGGTATGTAAATAAATTACCACATTTAGCATTCATTGTAATTATATCTTTGAATTAACAATACTATTAAAATTAACAAGATAACACAAAAACAGGATTATAATTAAATAAATTAGAAAATTTGGCTTTAACTATTTAAGGACGATTCCACCGTTGTGTTAACGAAGTTTAAATTACAAACGAAGATTAAAATTACATTTTTACATTACAATGTCATTTTAGTAATTCGTAATTCGTTTAGTAATTTAGACTTAGTTTAACACAACGGTGAAATCGGCCCTTAGTACACAAATGAAAATGAAGTAACCTCAATGTTTGTTTTCTTGACTGAGGATTCAGTTAATTCTGCTTCTACATGAAACGTGCGTATTTAAATGAAGCGTACAGCCCATGATCGTTTTTTAATCTTTATGGTCTTTTACAATGTAAAACGTCTAGCTACATTATGCGTCCACAATCCGTCAGATAGCGCTCAATTCATAGTCTGATGATTTAACATTGAGTTGCCATTCTATTCTTCCCTTACCTATGGCTCTGTTGTTATTGTGAGTCCGGCAAGTGCACATCATTAAACCCGTCTAGGGACTAATAAACCCCACCTAACCGTTTACGTAACAATTTAACAGGATATAAATGATATTCGACCTAATACAGAACTAGATAATAATCAAGAATTTCGACGAAAATATTTCAAGGGAAAAGATAGCACAAAATGGTTAAAAATTACTATAATACTAGAATTCGAACCAGGGCTAAAAATAAAATAAAACTTTTACCAGGTGTCAAGTGAAATGCACAAGATTCTAAAAACCCACCTGATTGCTGGTTATTTATTGATGACCAGATAATATCAGATGTTGCGAAATATACAGTAAAAATTAGAGAAAAAGCTGCAAATTATATAAACAAATACCACTATCAGGATACAAATGAAGTTGAAGTAACAGCAGCGTTTGGTTTATTTTTAGCGTTTTCGACTGGTGAAACTGGTGCGTACTTTTTAACACTCGGTGCACCTGGATGACTCCCAGGTAGGTACCATAAATATTCTTGTTAATTCCTGTATATGCATAGTATACGTTGACATCTTAAGAACTTAAACATAAGTTAATATGTTGATAAAATATTCTATATAAATAAATGTTTAAAATGAAAGCTTGTCTTGGAAGTTGTTTGGAATTTGGAAGGTACTACTTCTACTTATCACTCAGATGATAGCTGTCAAATACAATACAATAAATCAAAGTATGTGGGGTCAGTGAATATTATTTTTGGAGTCACAGTTTATTGCTAAAGAATCAGTTAGCTCACTCGGACCAGTTGAACGTTCCAAAATAACATCTACTCCAGGGATACAAATTCAGGATACACAGAAGACTGCTGTTTTATTATAAGCGGTTGTCATATATTGTATTATCCGAGTTGCGCACTGTATAAACTGGTACATTGAGATCAAAAGTGCCGACGCAGAGTGAGCGATCTGATTCTTTAGCTATAAACTGTGTCATAGGAATCAAAATGGCCGCGCCCTATGTTGGGCGTGTCGGACCTCTCTCTTGACCCGTATAGTAATCAAAGTATGTGGTCAGACTACAAATATGTTTAATTA